GATCAGTATACAGAGTAAAAGTTTTTGTGTTTTAACGCTGACGTTTCAGAGACACTTGAACTTAGCACTGAGATAGGAAGTTTTTTCCGAAACCCTGGAAATGCTTCTAGTAGCATAGCTGGTTACAGTCCAGAGGAATGAATAACACAATCAGTTGATTGAGAGATGTTATTTAGTTAATCGGGAAGTCATTTACTCAGTTTGTGAGCAAGTTAATTAAGTATTTGATCACGTAATAAATGATCTAGTCTTCCAGTGATTTCTGTTAAATTCTTGCATGGCTCGCTGATTAGTTATGTAGTCACTTGGCCGGTTAATTGAGTGGTTAATCAACTGGATGTGTTCCGCGCTCCCACGTCCACGCTGTCACTTCCTCTCTGTGAGTTTCAAAATATTATTTCCAGACGCTCGTAATTTACGTTCTTCCCTCGAAGTAAGATACCCCAGTTCTCAGAAATTGCAAAGCTGTTGGTAAAATTATTGCTGATGTGTGTAGCTTGGTGTATATTGATCTGTTATGAACTGACCTTTGACATTTCGGTAACTTGTAGCACGATGCTCGACTGTTCTCCGTAACATTATTTATTCTGCGACTGCAAACAACTTGAATGGTTACAAAGAGAAGAGGTTTTTGCGTTGATCGAAACAAAATCAGAAAAAAAACCTCCGGGCACTAAAAAGAAAATTGTAAATTCGGACTGCGTCGTGTTTCCTTGGCGATGTATCACAGAATAGATTCTTCGAGGTTCACTCCTCCGTGACCAGGTTTAAGAACCGTACAAAAAACTGTTATATAATTAATTAATTATCTTTTTTGAACCGGTTATGACTACGTCCCACCTCAGAACTTCACCTATTACGTTCCTTTGTCGATAACTGTTGAGTCGAACAGCACACATTTTTGAGCTGTTTACAGTGAAATGATGTTCGTGCTAAGTTTTATTAAATTACGTCAAAGTTTCTAAACTTTATTAGACCGTAAGGGCACTTTGGTCGTAAAGACGCTATAAAGGCTGTCTTTCCATAAAAAAAATAATTAAAAATAAAAAAAAATTCGATGAGATTACATCAGAAATGGAGCGGAAACATTAATTGTTAATAAATTCGTCGTGGAAAGGGTTAAGAACCCCGTGGAGCGAATTTTCATTAATTCTGCTTGCGGAAGAGATTCTTCGACCGGTTGTTTTGTCAGCAACGTGACGCCACTTCGGATCGTCCTGTCAGCGCGGGTTCGTGACCCAGCGGGTAGACACCTTGTTTACACGGAAGTCTCGTCTTGCGTGGCTTTATTAGAAGACTGAGAACCGCGTTCCATTTATAGCTTTATTAAAGCGAACTGTCCAATGAGCAAGTCCTTGCCACTAATGGAACGCTGTGACCATCCGTCTGAAGACATTTCAGCAAAGCCCCTTTTATTGACTTCGTTTCCTTGAGGACTGGGAAGTAACCATCGACCGGGTAACTTGAATAGATCCTCAGAGTGTCCTGGGGAATTTATTTAATTTACTTTGCTTTCCTTTATCTGTGTAAGAAATAATATCATGTCCTTGTGCATCCAAATAAGTACATTACCTAAAATTGGCCACTACCACTTCCTTCGTCATTATCCCAACTCATCAATCAAATATACCCCAATTTATTACTCTGTACAATATACGCAGTTGATGAAACGTCATATAAACCAAGAAAGAGATGTGTCCTAATATAACAGTAGCTTCCTTTTATTAATTAAAGTTTAACTCCGCTAATACCAAAACCCGCCTTTCCACACGGTCCTCATCCGTTTCCATCCACGACGATGATGGAGGCAGTAAGAACCTCTTAAACGTCCGTCAGTGTCTGCACGCCACAGTGTACCAGAAGACAGACGTCTTCATTATACGTGAATAGGATCTGTGTTAAGAACTTTAGTTTTAAGCGTCTCGTGTCTGTCGTATTAAGACGTGGCCTTGGAAATCCGGAACACAAATTTCCCTCATTATCAAGTCGATCCTGCAACTTGAACGTCTCAAATATCCCGCTATATCTGTGCACTTATAATAAGCTACATTAAAATGATGATTTGGCTTCAGCAACCTAATTGAAACAAGCAGAATAAAGTGTCTTATTCCTCGCTGAACCAATCAGACACTTGCTACTACTTGCAATGAAGACTGTGTTAAGCTTTGGTAAATCGCTCTGTTTAATTTGACGAAGTCACACGCTTTAGGGCCAAGTGTTAACAACCGGGGGCTCTCTGTGAATATTCTGCACTCTGGTGGTCATAATACAAATTAGTTTTTGTCCTTCATATATGCAAATTGTATTACCGCTACTGACCTTTGCCCTATCTTCAGCGTTTGTAGTTTACATTAACCCAAAGAGGTCAAAGCCTCTGATAACCGCAGGCAAGTTTATCTGTTTAAAACCTGTGATTGCTCTGTTGTTATAATAAATGCGTCATTACGAATGGGTTTTGATTGACATCTACAGGGGAAACGTTTAATTCCTGACATTAAATATTTACAAATTTACACGTACACAATAATTGTGTGTGTAAATGCGTTGAAATAATTGTGTGTAAAACAAAACTGTCTGTTCGTTTAATAGGATATTATTATTATATTATTATTTAGTGTTCTGTCTGACGACAGGTCCATATGAACAGGATCCTTCCATCCTTTTCTCGGACTGGGACCTGTTCATATACGTTTTTGGCAGATGATCCAGAAGTGGTTTGGCATTGCCTTCTTCTGTGTGTGAATGGAGTAATTGTTGGGATGCCACGTAGGAAAACTCCGTGTTGCCTAGACCACGGCCTTGCCCAACACAAGTTATAAATTCGGGCACCGCCGGGAATCGAACCCGAGACCCCAGGATTACAAGGCCAGCGTTCTATGCCACTGATTATTGAGATCAATGTGTGTTTTCTTTGAAGGTTGATGTGTGCATAGGTAGAGGATAATATTAAAATTAATCTGAAAGAAATAACTCGAGAGGTTTGTGACTGGATTCAACCGGCTCAGGCATCACGAAATTATGGTGAAAGTGGAGTAATTGTTGGGATGCCACGGAGAAACCGGGAAAACCCCGGAGGAAAACTGCGTGATGCCTGGACCGGTGGTAGGCTTTTGTAAATGACGGTAATAAACCTTAAGACTGCATAACTGCGAGGAATTTGATTAGCTGAGCGACTATCAGCTTCTCATGAAGATTGTTATTTCAGGAGTAGCAGATGAATCGTAAATCAGTGCGATACGCCCCTTATGGTCAGTAAGGTTGTCACCTGTGCCGCCAGGTGTATACAGCATCTCTGTTTTCTGCGCAGGCGCGTATTGGGCGATCTGCGCCCCGTTGGTGACTGGACACCGAGACTGGAGTCAGTTCTCCAGCGACTACCCTAGCTCTGATGACGACGCAACGAGCCAACTCCGCCGTGATCCTCGCCATTACGCAGGTACGCAATGTGAGTGTGGTGTCGTGCGTTCGGTGTGGAATTAATAATAATAATAATAATAGCATAGTTATTAGTAAAAATGTTTTGCGATGATGTGGACTGGCCTTTGGATAGAAGTCACTGATTAGATGAGACTGTAAATTTCTTACGAAAATGTTTAATAATTTCCGTCGCCTGTAATGTAACCCCAAAACTGATTATTCGTGTTAATATCTTTCTACCAATGGACCCTATCCTAAGGCGTATTCAGCCAGTTACATCTTCACGTCGTTTTTCAAAGACTCACTTCAGAATTGTCCTCCACTCCATCCATACGCCTACCACCCTGCCTCTCCCCTTCTGATATTCGGACAAAGAAGTTCCCCAATGCTTACTACGTGCTCCCCCCCCCACCCCGTAATCCATAATAATGGTCTAAATCCAAACACTAGGCTATATCAAACGATTGTCAGGCACTGCTGGGATTTTCTCTTGTGTTTGAGGCTGGTTTATTGGTTTTATTTTATTTTATTAATTTGATCCTTTGAATTTCATGCTAGTAATGGTACAGCGTCGTTAAACACTCGACCAAATGACATCGTTTTCCACAAATCAGATTTTCATAGTCCGATGAGAATAGGTCTCAGTGCATTTACAGGGATTTAATCACCGTGTGTTTCAAAACGACAGCTCATTTACTTAAATTCTGTTTTATACATTGCAGTCAATTAGTAAAGAAAGCTGTCAGCTATTTTAACTAACAGTTCCATTATCATTTTAAAATTACTGCTCGTTATTTCCCTTTAAGGGATAATGGAGCCTAACTAAATGACCTCGACCCACATATGAAAGTATCGGAAGTTTCAGTGCAGTAATTGGCTATCCTGCGCTATATTCTGCACGTTCTTGGTTTCAATCTTGTCCCAGAGACGTATTATATAACCTGTCAGCCATTTCGGCGGGGCTTGAGCAGAGAACTCAAGGTCATAAGAATAATTTGGTAATTTGTATAATATAATACGACCACTGCCCTTTTCACGTCCGCTAAATTACTGAATATTGATGATATAATTAAAAATTATTATTAAATAACCAAATAATGTTTCGTACGCGCGTTCTTCGCCCTATCCACTTCCGGTCGAGTATCTGATGACCCACGACGCGGTTCGCTGTGTCTTCCGCCCTTGGCCCTGACGTCGTGTATTGTGTAAACATCCAGGTGACTGGCTGGTTGCGTCCTGTTAGCGCACGGGCGGGAGCCAACGCTTTGGAGGAAGTTTGCGCGTTTCGCCTTGAATGATTTACGTCGGAGATCCAGAAGGGGTTTGATTTCCCACAAAGGAAGAATGTTTCGCCTGGCTACTAGTTTTACAGACCGACCCTGAGGTCCAACGATTTCGCTCCTGGGGTCCATGTGAATCTGATCACGTCGTAGAGTTTAAGAATGCAGGGAGCTTTACCTCCAGCCTAGTAAACTTTCGTGGTTTGATTATTTTTAAGCACAGAAAATTCAGTGTCTACGCACATCATGTAACATCTAATGCAAATTAATTGTCTCGGGCCTTGAAACTTCAGTCAGCAAGTCAGACATTTATTGAGTTCGCTCTGCAGAAGTCTGTTCGCCGAACACCGGGTTCTTAATTTGAGATTATTACTAAAATTTATTCCTCTACTCAAGCCTTTTATTTAAACTAATAATAAATTGCGCACTAGATACAAATATTCACCGACACTTACCCCCACTGTGATGACTGCAGAGCTCTTCTTTACCGGCTGTGTTTTTTTTTTACATTTACGTGGGCGTCAGGATCGAAACTGGTGAAGCGAAGCCCCTGGCAGGGAGGCTGCGCCCTGTTCAGTAAGCCCGCAACAAATTCTCGTCGTCGTACGAAATCTGGCCCTCACATTCCACCCTCTTCGGCTGCGTGACAGCGTATCAGTTAATAGCAAGTTAATCACTCGTTCGTGAAAGGTTTATTCACAATTCGACCCGGAAAAGATTATCTACAGGGTGTTCAATATATTATTTACTAAACATATATATTAGTTATTAACAGTGTTGTATAAGAACCATAGAAATAAAAGGACTCATTTCGCAGTCCTCTCTGCTGTCAGACAGCGCGATTGTAAATGTTGTTGGTTTGTTTAATTGTCTTAGGCCCGGATATTATCATCAATATCTTGTTAATTAGAGTTAATTAAGAGCCAAGCTGTAACTCTGACCTTTCCGGACTGCTGTTGCAGTGGGGATGTGTAGATCCCTGCGTTGTGCGGTTGTAATAAGCGAGTCTCGTGATGAAGGCAAATAATTCCCATGCAGTAATTAAGTAAAATTCATTTGTTTTGCATCACGATATGTCACGTGTCATGCCCTGTGGGCGTCATCGTTCAGCGTTGCAGCAATCGGGCTCGAGGCAACTGTAACACGTATTAAAATAAATCGATTTATGTATTTATCATGCAAATTTGTGCCGTATTTGACGTTAACATGGGGAAAAATAAGTTTTTGTGACGAAAATATTTCCCGACTTTGTTTTCTCGCGCGAACTTTCCAGTTTGCTTCTAATTCTCTTGGGGACTGGTTCGTATTCTGGAAGAGTAGACAAAGAACTCGAATGTTCTGCATGACAGCCCGACATTTTTTTTGTACATAGTTTGTGTCAAATCTGTGACAGGGAAGTCAACAAAACTAACCCCCACCCCCCACAGCTTATAAACTGCTCCATAAAACAAGGAACTGCTTGTGATTAGTTTAGTTTAATGTCCGCCCCGTTCATCGTATCCCGTTCTTGCACAAATTTCGAAACTTTAGTGGTTGTTCCGCATAGGAATTTATTTTCTGTGAAAGGGTCGTTCCTTCCTGCCAAGTATTGTCAAATATTTACATTTCACTCAAGATTCAAGTTCAATCTTGGCCGATAAGTCAAGCGCGGTTCATCTTAAAAGAAAACTAAATTACTTCCTCGTAATTTGAGGAGGGTTAGTGCAAACGCGTTCACTGCAAGAGCGAATCAAGGCTCTTCGATCTTCGAAGACGTCTAATTTTAGTGCTCGGGAGGTCGAAAACTTGGGTTTTCCTCATTTATTCTAGTAAATTTATGAAATATTACGATAATTAAAACCGTGACTTAAGAATTTACTTAAACTAATCATTCATATTCAGACGATATTTGCTAATTCGACGTCACAACATCTTAGTAATAAGCAAGAACGTCCCTACGTCACAGAACACCTTTTCACCACGCAAAATGAACCGAAAGGAAGTCTAAAACACTGAGTGGATTCTAATTTTATGTAAACTCATTCTATATCAGTAGTCTTCCTTTTCTAAAACACTTAATGAGAAGGCTTATTTATTTTATTTATTTTTTGAAAAGGTCAAAGGCCATGGAAATACATGGTTACCGAAAGAAGGTAGGTGCTAATTGAGTCTGCTTCTTTTCAATTTGCCGTTGGCATGGAAACGAAACCGAACTCGATATTCTAATTACTTAATTGGCTTCAAATTATGTTAACAAAAAGTCAGATGTATGCGTTCGAGTTGCAAATTATTGATTAAAGTTTAAATTCTCTGTTTCTGTTTCCGTCTCGCGTCGCTCTCGTCTCTGCCCGTGTCACTTTGAGATAGGCTTAAAAAGGAGTCCAGTTACACTAATTTGACTTAAACACGAGCAGATAAATTGGTATGACGAGTAACCACGAAAGAAGCTTCAGAAAGGAACTTAGCACAGAACGAAATTCGGCAAAACTTCGTACTATGATAAAAATAACTTTAGAATTAGATGGCTTAGGAACCCGAATGTTCATCACCGAATTAACCAAAGCCCTCCGCCGGTCCCTGTCCCGGACCAACCAAATACAGTCGACAAAATAACTTTAGAATGTTTTAAAATTTAAGTACCTGCGAACAGCACTAAACATATAAATAATTTTCAAAATGGCGGAATACATATTTTGTTACGAATTGGTTCGGAATGTGTCGTTATCCGTTGTATTTTTCTAAACTCCAAAGGCCATTCGTTTTGCATGGACATGAAACGCAATCTGTTACTCGAGAGGTCGTATTTGAAAACAAAAGTCGTCCAGAACAGCATTAACCATTGATTTTTGTAATGGTGAAGTGTTGTGTTTTCTTCGCGGTCCGGACTGGATGCTTAAAGATTACTTAGACGGGCGTCGGCTTTAAAGTGTCGAGGCAGACGAGCGAGTCTCTGGCACGACGTAACGCGGATGGAAGTATTTTCCCACAAAGAATTTCTTGTTCGGCTGACGTCAAGTTTTTCCTGTCAAGTTGTTGTCGTGTTTATGTGCGGATCAGAAACTTCTGGAGTCTTCACCTCGCAGTTCTCTTGAATACAGGGCGCCTACAAAGTTGGTAGCCATCGCCACAAATTCATACGAGGTCCTTTCCTCCGGAATAAAGTGGCTGGCGTGGTGCTTATTTAAGCTCACGCCGTGAATGTGGATTAGGAAGGGTTATCGTGGCCTGTTCGAGAAAGGTCTGAGTAAAACCGCGAAGGACATTGTACGTCTAGTAGGGAAACGTATCGAGATTCGAACCGGTTGACCTTCGACCGCCGGACTCTGGCGTTACCGCTACGCTAACCTAATCTGTTGCGGTTTTGAGTCGGCATTTGTAGTTCTGTTCGCGCGGGGTCTGCGATGCGTTCCTGGTGGCCGCGAACGCGACTGTCCGGTCGCGTCCTTTGTAGCACGACACGCGAAGCGTCCAAACGCTTCCCTCGTTTTTTCTCTTGTGTATTCGTGGTTTTCTCTGTGCACCTCTGATAAAATTCCATTAAGATAGGCCACGGCAGAATTCTTCCAAATTCATCCGCCATCCACAATAATCCTTTCAATCCATGCTACATCCTATGTAGCCTACAAAGTGTCGTAGAATTAGACGCGAAGTTAACAGCTTTTCTGTTTCTTCACTCTTTTGTCTCTTTCTTTCTTTCCTTCTTTCTTTCTTTCTTAATTCCTTCCCTTAGGTTTGCAGACTGTAGTTCGCTGTGATTTGTGTGTCCCATCCTTTGATATTCTCGATCCCTTCATCTTCCTCTATTTATATCATCGGGTCGTTTCGACCCCTCTTAGAGATCCTGGATCTTTTACAAGCCTCCGTCTCCTCTGCACTGTGAGGGCGACACGTGTCGTGTCTCAAATCGATATACTCAGATGTTCACTGAAATTTCTCTTTGTTGTCTTGCTCAGTGGGCGGAAATGTTTTGTGGCCAGTGATACTTCACAATACGAATCGTTACGTCATGTTCAGAATGGCTTGGGAGGTAAAAAAAAAAACAGCTGGAGTGTGAATGTAACCACTTTTCAACAAGTATTGCAGATGTTACGGCCGAATGGAACCGTTTTACGGAGCCTTGTTTGTTTTTTTATCCACGTAGAAACTATGTACTGACTTTCATGTTTCAAATCCGATGTTTAAATCTAAGTCGGAGACCAGAACTGTGAACTGTTTTATCAGTATAAATCATCGAGTTGTGTGCCGCTCCCGTGTTCGTGAGGTGCCACACCACGAGCTAGTTCGGCGATGCCATCTCCACCAAATCAACCTTGTGCGTTGCCATGGCTACGGTGAGCGTTTGTCCTGCAAATGCAAACGCACCTGCCTCACGGAAGTACCTCGCGGACATTTTATATCCATTGCTACTTACGTAGATTCGTAGGTTTTGGAAACGACTGTATATCAAATGCTCGGGGCAAGTTTTTGAGTCTGGACCGCTCGGTTAATTCAGCGGAGTTTAACCACCGGCGATGGCAGAAAGTTTTCTCAATACCGTCATTGTGTACAGAGAGCCTCTGGGACCAAATGAAATTTCTTTTCTTCGAACGAAACTACTGTTCGTGACTGTAATCTTGAGACTTGTGGAGTGAGGAAGGGGAGAGAGCGTCTGCCTTTAACGCTACGGACTTCCTAAATTCCTTTGCGAGTCTCAAGATTACAGTCGCGTACTATACTTCCCCTGGTGCTAAAGTTACGGAATGTGAGGACGCGCTTGTGGCCTATTTTAAGACACTTTCCCAGTGTTTTCTAGGGCAATTGGGTTAAACTATGAAACCTTTCAGGTTAGCGCCGCCGTGGCATAATTCCGTGACCTCGTATTACTATTTAAATTTCTTGTCTGAGGTCGCGTCTGGTCCATAGTGGCCTGTGATGCCACTCAAATATGCCTGTCGATCTGACATTACGTCAGAACCCTGGATAGAGTCTATAAATAAACGAACTTCAACTGTCACCACACAGCAAAAAAAAAAATATTAGTCCATATTAATCTCATTGACAGCGCCACTGAACTGCAGGTTATTGGAAATATGTCAAATTTGACGCCCCGAGGACAAACCGTGCGTGGGGGAAACCGTGGATACGGAAGGATCGATGTCTGTTTAAATGAACGGTTAAGAAATATTGTTTCTTTCTAAACGTAGATTTGGCAACAGTGGTTGGTAAATTTACCCTGTGGTCCACCTGGACAGCTGTAGGTTGTCTCTTGCAGTTTGTGAGTGTTGTCACAATGAATGAATTCTTAGCGACTATATCTCGTTGTTGCAGGAAAGTTGGTGAAGGTGTTTTTTCCCCCCCAGTACTGACAACTGCGAAAACAGAAATAATACACGATTGTCACGTTCCGAGGAGAAGTTGGCCTTTGACGGAATTCAACCAAAACGTAATTAAGAACTGGAAACCAACGAGTTAGTTCTGAGAAATCGATCCTCCAACATCTGACATCAAGAAAGCGAATGAAATATTTTTCTTCGCGAGTAATAAGGAACACCTACGCGTCCCCAGCAGAGATAAAGGTTTTATGGGTCTAAAGACAGCAGCAGGTGATTACAAATAAATGGAAGACGGATGTCAGAACAATTACAAGTGTTCGCAGGCGAATTAATCCACAGTCGAATCTGATTAGACTGATGGGAAGCGGAGATGACCATAAGTGAACTAAGTAACAGGGCGACTGTAGACGATCATTAGCGAATTAAAACTGATACAAGGCCACTACAGGCGATTACAAGGCGGCAGATGCGTGAGGTCGTGTCCTTGCTGCCAAGTGGAGCGGAGGAGGAGGAGGTGTTTCCATGGTTTCGCTCGCGTCTCATACCTCGACGTCCCGATGTGTTCGACAATGACGATCCGGACGTCGCCCTGGAGGATTCCCCCGACCCCACTCCGCTCGTCGAAAACACGACGGTGCATAGTGACTACATAGATGACGTCATCGCGAAACCTCCCCTCAGCGAGTTGGACAGGCTGTACAGTGAGTACCAACATTGTCTTTTTTTCACTATAGAGTATTAATGTTACGTTTCTGCCTGTCTTTTAAATGTTGCCACCCAGAGGGTTAATACGGCATGAGCGTGAAATGTCTTCAGTATGCTGACGTCAGTGGCAGGCTCTTGTGAACAATGTAATGAACGTTTAGGTTCCATGAAAGTAGGGAAATTTTGTTGCTGAAGGAGGAATCTGCTCTATGCTATAAAGTTAGTTGGTTAGTTAATTAGTTTCATGACTTAATGAGGGCCTTAATTTGTATGCATCACTGTAATTGACCTCTTCGTGATTTAATTATAATTAGTTTTGATATAGCAAGCCCGTAGTTGCGCTCCTGGGTTCAGTTGGCACCCGTGTATATCATTTTATAAGAAGTTCCGGTTTTGTCTCCCGTAACTCGTGAGCGATTCGCCTTTCGACACACAGCACTCCGTAAATTTTGTCCTTGTGGCGGACAGCCCTGAGAGGGATTTATACATCTCTCTAACGTTGGTAACCCTGTACCAGACACGACGTCAAAACCCAGAAGACCACAGTCAACACTTCACGAAGTTCGCCTTTAGGTTAATGCCAAGCAAAGTTTCTACCTGAATTAAATTCGATACTTGGCTTTGAGTGCACACCGCCCGTTCCAGACTTCGTGTAACTCGGCATCCCAGTGAAGTTCTTATCAAGACGACCAATACGGCAGGTACAGTGTGCCACACGCGATGTGCAACAGTTCAATATTTACTTTTATTGTGCGTCCGGTGTGCACCGAATTTTTGCCTGAATCGGGCACATCATCTAGGCGTTACGAGAGAAAAATTTGTTTCTGAAAATAAAATTTAATACAGATCTTTATCATTTTCTGTGCAAAACACTTTAGTGACAAAAACTGATCGATCCATTTCTCTGGCTTAAATGAAGATTCTGTACTCTTGTTCGAAGTTTGCGCACCCCTGTTTTGACGTCAAGCGTTGGCATGTGGCGGTGTTATGATCGGATGTACGCTTAGTGTCCCCTCAAAGCATTCATCCGAGATCGACTCCTCATACGCTGTGACGTCAGACGAGTGACGCAAATTTTGTGAATGGTATGCACTTGCGTGGCTGTGATCCAGGGGTTAACTGTTATGACCTTGGTACAACGGAGTTAGTGTGCGGAATTTATTAATGAGCAAAAAAAATCACGCAGACTCACAAACGCGCTAAACCGGGCAGAAAAGTTTAATCTGTTTCTCGGTACTATCAGCTGGATGGCGGGATATTACTCTAAAATAGGCCACGACCACTCATCTGACATCGATCCCTGTTTAATCTCCTGATCATTCTAATATGCCTTGTTGTCAGATAACCGCAGAATATGACACGGCTTCGTTATTGTCAGGCGACGTTTCGGACACTACCTGTCTATTCGTCAGATAAAGCTGGCCATCGCCACGAGGTTTAGTCGCCATGTTCCTGAGTGTAGAAAATTGCTGTTCAGTAGAAATAAATGTCGTATTTCTTTGTTGCTTGTAGCTGCTGTCTGTTTTATAACTTAAAGTGTTATGTAAAGTGTTAGCAGTAAAGTTTACGTCACTTTAGAACAAGCACGACGTTTTCGGTCTCCTATTAGTGTATCACGTGGAGTCTGGTTTAAGTTTATCGACGTTTCAGAGGCACTTATGTCCTCCATCATGTCTATGGCCGTCTTGGTGGTGGAGACTACTTCTGAAACGTCGGTCGATTTCAAGAAGGCAGCCATCTTCGTACTGTAGACGTCAGTATCTGAAATTTCAATCTTCAGGGCCGTACGAATTTTAGTTTTTGAATTTCCCGCGAGATGTATCTCGAACTGCTTCTGGTGTTTCCTTCTTCAAGCGAACTCCACGCCCCTTCGATCCCACCTTATAATCTTTGTCAGTTTCTTTGAACGAAATGAAAATGAGGCGGATAAAATTCACATCTTGCTCTGTAGCCTAACGTGGCAACTTTTTTTAAAAAAAATTAATTTCTCGTTTGTAGACGGAAGTGGAGGCTTCTACGCGAATTACTTTGTTCCTCGTGGCTTTTCCGATAGCCGGGTATCGAAAGAGACGGAAAATAAAAAAGTTTGTGAAGTAGAACGGGACATAAAAACACGTGGCGTCTCCTTTTATAGACCTGCATAATGGCATTCCTTTTTTTTATTCTTACGCGGGGAGTTGATATTTTTATACAAAATTTCCAGTTATCCACATATTCTAACAACAGTAGCTACATAACCATTGCATTTGATAGGAGTCGTTAAAAGAACAATCATTAAATCATTACAGTTTGAGACCTACTGGTAGGCGAAAGTATAATAATTGATCTTAAATATGTTTATTAGGATGTGGATTGAATTTAGCTGGCTTGCATTACAGTGAATAGATTGGATGTCATAAACACATTAATGACCCTTTGGGTTTCTTAAAAGGCTGGGAATTTCTTGGACAGCTGAGCGACTGTCGGCTTCTTAATCGAGGTCTTGAATCGTAATTTAGTACTCCAACACTTCGGGATTTTTGGTGCGTGTAATTTTAACTTGTTCTCGCAGAGACAAGGCAAATATTTATATAAAGGACACGTGACGCAAATCACCGAAGCATTTGGCGATAACCCTCGTCTCTCTCTGCTCACTCGGAAGGGCAGTTACTGGAGAAAATGGAATATCGATATGTCGATAACATTCATATCGTGGAACAGTTGAATCGCGTTCACCGATGCGAATTTTCTCGTGTCTTCAGTTTTGTTTTTCCTGAATTGTTAAGAATATAAAAGTCGCAAGGATTCTGTGTACCAGAATGGGTTAAATCTTGGCTAACGTACACCATCCAAGAGACCGGTTGTCATGGCTTGAGAGTTATCACGGTTTTCCTCAAATACTGGGAAATATCTTAAAATTAGACCATGACGGCATCCTTCCACAGCATTTCCGATTTATTATTAATAAATCTCGACTCTCGATATCATATAAGCCGAGAAATTAAAGGCGTCGTTAACCACAGCGTCTAGAGTTACGGCTTTAATAATAATCGCCGTGAGGTATCGGCAACTTCTCTGCAGGCGGAGTGGAGCGGGTTGTATGAACGCTGACTAGCAGGCGTTATCTGTTTTGTACGCTTAACTCCTCTCTCCTCGTTCGTAACTGAAACTGAAAACTGCACCTTCATTTTCTCATTTCTTGGTTCCTTCAACTCGTCGAGGTCAGCCTTGAATCTAACCCTCGTAGTTAGTGATGTATGATGTTCCTTTCTGCCTAGTCCACGCTTTCGAGGGGGTGTAGATTCTTTGAACCTAGCGGAGGGGGTGATCGTACGCGCATCCATCAAGATCATTGCCTGACCGTGATGGATCTATTGTGACCTTACGCCTTCTGCTGTACGTCGAGGTCTGAGTAATGCGGGTTGCAGTAATGTTCCTCGTCCAGGAGGCGTGGCAAGAATTCCGCAGTCGTGAAACGAGAATGTTCGGTCGTTTCGTCAGATGAAATGTCTTCTGGGAAGTAACTTTTTAGTGTTTAAGGACAGTTCGCTCGTGAAGTTAGTTTTATAATGTAAGGGTAGAATAATCGCGTATATTACGATGGGTTGAACATGTAGCTCGGGCATATGAAAGCAAGAATTTTTTTTCTTCAAAAATTAGTGGAAACCATTTCATAAGAACTTCGAAAACCGAGAAAAGACGGGTAGGATAACATTGAGATACTTTTATATATTTCTCTCTTCGCGTAATTTCAATATTTTCTCGTTTTCACGTGTCTTTTCCTCATCAATTTATTTGTGTTTTTGTTCTGAATCCTATCTTGAATGTGATTTTTTTCATTTCGACCTCTGTTCTCCTTTATATTTCTCGACGCGTTCCTTTCTTCATGTCCTTAATATCTTTTCCTCCTACCTAACATCTGGACATTCATGACTAATCCGTTGTCATTATACAGGGTGTTCTCAAGGTGACGACTATCATGTACTAAAACTGCACTCAATACACTGGACGCCCACAATCGCGGTACTTTGTCGATGTCGTTAAAAGTTGTTTTAATGTCCTCCGCTCAGGCGCCACTAGTAGTACGACCACATTTGGGGGTGGGGGGTGTACAGTTTCGCACTATGCACTATCTCGGTAATTATTGTGGAAACGTCTTCATTGTCTAAACTTTATGTGCGTCGTTAAGAACGCTGTTGTCTAATCGTTAAGACGAGAGACGTAAATGTGGGTCGAAAGCTGCGTGTGCCACTTTTGCGTTAATGTGTGTTCAGTTGTCTCATCTAACTAGTTTGGAATTTTGAGCTTAGATATTTTTTTTTGTCCTCTCTCCGTTGTCTTTGATCGAGAATTTGCTTTGTTCTGATATGGGATGTATTTAAATTTTAACAACGCGTGTACTGACATATGTTTATCGAAGCACTCGAGTGGCAAAGGTTAAAGGCGAAACATATGTAGCTGGCATTGTTCCACCTCAAATTCTCGCTACTTCGATATTCCCTGTGGTTAATACCTAACCTGACTTATCTTTTGAATAATGTCAAGTCTATTAAGTAAACGAGAAGACGTTTGTCGGCTTTTCCTGTATTAACGTTGAGAAAGAATCACTTGCTCTTAAGAAGACGAAGCCATGATGGAATCAGACTCTGGGACTGATTTTGCAACAACGCTCGAAAGCTGGCCGCTGTAATACGAGCTTTAAATCTTTTTAGTTTACTTCAATCTTCAATTCATCTTACTTCTTCGCGTTAAATTCTCAGACTCATCATTCCCTTCTTTTTACTCTGTCCTGTAAGAAATGTCTCGTCTTCCCTCAATTTAGATTAATTTTCCGTGCCAGGTTCGAGGCTGATAAGGAACAGGAAGAAGGCTGTGGAATTTTAAAGACGCCATAAACAATCACTCACTCAAAATCACGATGTTCTTCTCCGTTTCTGTTTTCGTTGCGATTAAGAATGAGTCATTGAAACGAAATATGTTAAATTGACTCCCGTGATCAATATTCCCTTGATTCAATTACGTGTGTCTGATCTCAGTTCTATTCTGCGATAGACGATGAACTCCGACCTTAAGTTTATCCTAATTAACTGGATGCTAGGCTGAAATTCGCCTGTTTCGTTATCCCAAGTCTCTGGGTGGTACTTCAGACAGTCAGATCATCGTGTTATTCGACATGAGCATATACAACGAACGCGTGATGATGAAGTCATCTGTTCGTAATTACAATTCCATTCGCATAGTCTGATTCTTTTGTCTTTGTACGCAGTAGCTGTCAGCGCAGTGATCATTCATTTCTTCTGGAAATTATTACACGCCGTCAGCATGAAACTGTGAAACTGTTTCTGATTACGAGTTTGTGAGGGGAGGGGGGGGGCTTTTGGAATATTGATCTTCTCGCCGTACCGCTAGAGTGCAGAGCTGTGGCTTCTGAAGCCCGTGGGAATAATGCGATCACAAAAATAATGGTGCTTCTAAAGGCACCCTTGTCTCCTGCCATAAGGGCGTGACTTCGGAAGTTTTCGTTTGTTCGTTCTTAAAACTTTTCAAGCAACGATGAATCTTCGTGTCGTTCTCTTCTGGCGATAAGAGTGAAACATTTAGGGACCTTGAACCTGGTGGTTCAACGCGTACAATAACGTGGTGCTGAACAAGTTCCGTCGCCGTTGAATTGTCCAAGATACTTTTAAATATTACTTAGATATTCTTTATTTCAGTCTTCAAAACAGACACCTTCCAAGAAAATTCTTCATAAGCGTTTTGAAATGTTTCCTATCCTTATGCAAGCTAAACGTCCAGCCTCTCGTGGCCTCTGATTTTACTTTATTCCTCGTTTATGTAATATTACAGGCTTAATTTGTGTTACATGCCGAATGTAATCTCGTCGGATACATTTCCCTCTGTTCTAGCAGTCTGCGAAATATGTCACGAGCGTTTCCTACCCAATCCGCTCAGTTCACCATACGTAATATATCCCGCCACAGCCAAATAAGCTTTCAAACTTGTATGAAATCTTTAAAGAACTGGCGTACCAACCGAATGTTTCCCTGAGATATTAACTCTTTGAAGATCAATGGTAACTATATGTACCACTTGCTTCAACAATCATTAACTCTTCATTATGTTTTTATGGGTTTTGTATTATTCTCACTGTAAACAGCGATTATTTCCTTAAACAGCGTTAACCATTCGATCTTTGTAATGGTAAAGTGCTGTGTTTTCTTCGCGGTACGGACTGGATTCTTAAATATTAATCAGACAAACTGTGATTCTCACTGTAAACAGCGATTATTTCCTTAAACAGCGTTAACCAATTGATATTTGTAACGGTGAAGTGCTGTGTTTTCTTTGCGGTACGGACTGAATTCTTAAATATAATTTAGACGAGTGAGTATGATGTTTGTTCGTGTAGGAAGGCTGGCACGTTGTTTCTTGGTCTCGTAGGTGTGGTACTGCCGCTGGCTTTGGCCGGTGCGGTGGTAATGGTAATGGTGTTGGTGACGTCCTTGCTCGCGAGGCGCCGGAAGTCGTCGGGAGGAGATGGTGCTGGATCCAGCATTGTGGTGTACCCTTACCATCAGAGCAGTGGACCGCAGTTCCTGTAAGTGCAGACCAATGCTTTATAAAGGCTGATAAGTTTTCAAACTCATGTGGAGTGTCCGTGGTATGATTCCCATCATGAACTAGACTTAGGACATTTGCTCCACGTTCGTAATTTATAATCATTATTCGGCTTTGGTTATACGCCAAGTAGCCTTCACATTGATATGGCGTCGTAAAATAACCTTAATGAAACATTCAGTACTTTATTTCACGTGTTGTTACTGTAACGTCACACAGAAAGGAGGAAAACGCCTGGGACAGTATGTGTAGACTACATGCTACACAGTAGTGTTGGAGATGTTGCCTACGCGTCACGGCGAATCACTGCGCCTTGAACTTGAGTGCATGAAGTATTTTTTTTATTTTAACGCTTATCAGTTTACATTAATTTCAACATAACTGAAGTTCAGATCCAACTATTAGATTGTCAGAATTGGGTGATTTTATAGAATAATAGGTGCCTAGCATAAAATAGAGGTAAGACGTTACTTCGAAGTTTATTCTCATGTTTAAATAAATACCAGGAAAATGATTTATGACTTTTGTACTGCGATACCTTTACGGGTCGTTATAGTTGTCTGGAATACAATTTATGTCTTTGTTGTCATGTTTTGTTCTGTCCACTGTGGAATAAATTAAAATTACGACCTGTGTCAGGTGCAAACTCTCTGAGAACTTGTCTGAAGAAAAAAAATTATGTGCTCTTCAAACTGATTTACAGCTTCCGCTCTTGTTCAAGAATCATTCTGATAACACTACTGCCATCTATGTATGTCCGTTGAAACTATTACACTTTTTGATCTTCGAATGTTATGGTGGTAGTTGTCTACTTTTTTGCTATTGTTGCGATTACGTGTTGTTGTAGTACGAAGGAGATTCGATTCTCCCTTCCGACGTTGCGGCAGGCGTCGTCCCTGGGCGACCTGCTGCCTGGAGACAACGACGCAGAGTCGGATCGAGACACGGACTCCCTAGTTCCCGCCTCCGCCGCTCACACACAGCGCTCTAACTCATTCAGTAAGTTCCCTCAGGGCTACCAACCTATTAAAGTTGTTAGTTTGGAAACTTTTTGGTGTTTTTCTCTATCACTGTGCAGCGCGAAAGATTGTAGAAATGTGTTGAGACACTAGACAAGCTTAAGGATTGTTGTAGGAAATGGTTTATTGAAATGTGAAAGGCAAAGAAGGCGGTGATTTGACGGGCAGAATTCTAATGAGCCAGGAAAATGTATTGTTTCGGTTTGCATTCCGGGGTTCGATTCACCTCCCCATTACCCTCCCCAGGCCCACACAGTCTTGTGCTAAGCCAGCCGGAGCTTGAAACTGTCCATCGATATTCGTCTCTTGCAGAGAGTAAAGATGTGTAGAACTTTCCTTTCCCTTATACTTAATGGTGCGTTACACATGACCGATTATTAATCATTTGTTGACAGTCTATCAACTACCGATACTGAAGTCTCTTAATGTCGACGTCTGATGTAATTGAATGAGCGTCTTAAGATTGGAACCACGTGATGTAGCGCGAAAGGGTGAGCTATCGGGGAATTGTAGCGAATAAAAAATATGTGTGGAGCTTAACTGAAGGAGTAAGGAAGAGAAATGGTTGATAAGCGTCAGTGTCGAGTTATCTTAAATAAAATCATTTCCTTCCTTATTGGTCTTCAGTATTGAATTATTATAATTGTATGTAGGCCGTTCGCAAGGCGACAGCCGTGCAGAACAAACTCAGTGATACAATAGCGCTCAAATTGCTTCAGAACCCAGGGGATGTTTCACAGGCAGAATTTTTGGTTTTATTTCTAACGAACTAGGTCATTCTAAATTGGAAGCGTCTTGTTTCTCCAGCGTTCCCTTAATTCTGTAAGAGGAATACAACGGAAAGAATGGTTTATTAATTCCGGCTATAAACGTTTGTCTGTCTGTCTGATTTCACTTCCGTTGTGCGCTCAAACTTTAAGCTCCATCTGACGTTTTCGTTTCGACTTAGAATCCGCGTTTTCTAATTTGGCTTAAAGGTTAATTAGGGACTTAAAAAATTCCTCCCGTTTCTAATGCGCAGCGGCGGACAATCTGTTGGTAGATGTAGGGGCTCTGACAAGACATGTCATGCAGCGAGTTTCCGTGCTGGTTCACGATTTGGGTCAGATAAGATGACCCCTGGGGACCTTCATATAACGTCGCACTGACAGAATTAAACCTGGAAATGGTAGTCAATAAAACGTAATGTTTCTAGCACATGTATATATCTTGTCTGTTTGCGGTTTAATGTTTACGGTACGTTTCTGTTAATGATGCGTGTTTTATACAATCGATTGTCATATATCGACTATAAGAACACAATAACCGATAGAAATATGGTGGAGTCTACTATGGAAACTTGCTTCAGTGTTACGTCACACTTCACACTTCCTTCCCTCTGCCATAAAGATCGAGGATTCGTATTATCAGCCAGTTTTCTTATATGATTGCTCTATTTAACGACGTTGTTTCAAATGGATACGTTGTGTGACATTCGTATCTGAGGTTAAAAATTATGAGTGAACGGGTGTTGTATGTCCTGGCGATTTCAAGGTATTAACACGGCTTTATTTCCGTAGTGGCTGAAGAAACCCACGATTAATATGTACCAGTTTCTAGCCCCTCGGCCGAGATTAGAGCCGAATACTTCAGTTGTGATTGACAGTTTCCTTGACTCTCTACAGAGTGATCCTACTTTTTCAAGGCTGTCATGTGAGAGCATTTCTCTGTAGGTTGCTACGGATTGGGGGCAATCGACCCGGCGCTGTATAGGGGTACTTTGGACCTGGAGGAGGACCTACAGTTCCCGGACGGACATCTCGGACGCATCTGGTTCTCTTTGCGGTACGAGCCCGCTACGGAGAAGTTGCTGGTTTCTCTCCTGAAGGCCAAGAATCTGCCCAGTCGAACGGTGGGCACGGTCAACAGCTGCGACCCTTTCGTCAGGTAACGCAGGAAAAGGTTAGGTTAGGTTAGCGTGAGTGTTTGTGGAGACTTGAGCCTGGTCCATGTGGTGTTAAGGCCTGACGCTTGATTTAAATTAAGAGTACAGTGAGGCGGGTCTGGAGAAAAGAAGAATTTCTGGAAGGTGACATTGGATCTTGTGCGATTTGCGGTAAGTGAGGGACGTTTCGGAAGGACACTTACAGAAACTGTTTCTCCGAAAAAAATTCAAATTACATGACGTTTGCCCAAAACAAAATAGAAATTATAAGCTACGCGCATCTCCTGTTTCAAGGATTTTTGAGGTGGTATATATTTAAAAACAAAAAATTATCTGGAAAAGAAATTTCATGAAGGCAAGTGCGGTGTACAAAATCTCAAATAATCCCTGAGTAAAATATGCGTTCTCCGAATTAAAGCAGTTGCTTGCTGTTTATTCACAGAAAATAATTCAGGATCCCTCCACTTGTAACTCAAAGAAATTATTAAGTCCTGATTTCTAAGACCGAGATCTTTGCATATACTTCGCGATTCATTGCAGGGACCACGTTCATTACTTAAGCCGTCCCTTAAGTAAACTTGGCCGCATGACTTAAGTAATGAAGCAGGGAAAACTGTCCGACTTGTCTTGTTTCCCGTTACGTAGCAGCGCATACGAGTTGAGGTTTGTTTCTACCACGCTGCTCGATTATGTATGGGACGCTGATGGTGGCTGAACTCGGCTTAACACTTTTATAACCTGCCTTGATGATCTGGGTTAAACCCGGTTCAAAATTTACGAGCCGTCTGGTCTAATGGCCTCGGAGAGCCGTGGTTTGTGAGTACTGCAACGCAATCTGTAGCAACTAACTGGACTAATTAAACTAGCCAGCGCCCTCAGCGGTAATAGAGCCCAAAGTTTGAACACCACTAATAATAAACTCTGACACTTTGACGCGAAACCACATTTCAGACGTGAGTCGTAAGGAAAAATGTTCAACGGCGTATCGTACCATATCTGCACACACAGAGAGTAGCTGTCGCTTGACACTTATATTAGACGTAATTGCGCTGTTGCGTGGATAATTTTAGTTGAAATTGCGGTCGGTGGTGAATCGCGTAGCTCCTTCATGGAGCCCGGAAGTGACACTTGCGTTAAACTTTGTCAGTGGACGCAGTTTAAGAATGCTTCGAGACACGTGTTCTGCTTTTCTTATGTTTCAGGCTTCGTCTAACACCCGATGAGAGGCGCTACCTGCAGTCGAAACAAAAGAAGAAGACTTGCAATCCTTACTTCGACGAGACCTTCGTGTTTCAGGTATGCAGCCAGATTATTTTTAATATTGCAGTGATTTTTGGTAGACAGAATTTTGATGTGGGGATTTCGTAGAGATTTTGCGTCTTTACGATCGAGAAATACGTTCGATTAAGATGGACCTTCAACCACGCGTCGTCTTGTGCAGGTGCCGTCTAAGGAGCTGACGGACCACGTCCTGAAGTTGACTGTGATAGACGCGGGCAAAGCCAAGCGCCGTGGCGTTATCGGCTACGTGACCTTTCGCCTGAGGGACCTTCCCGCCGAGAACGAGCAGATTCTCTACAAGATGGATCTCGAAAAGGTGGGAAGCGCGTACAGTATCGTTCAAGAACCTGAACAAAGGGAGACCTGGGCATAGATGAGGGGATAATATTAAAATTAATAGCAGATAAATGTGGTGTGAAGATGTGATTCATCTGGCTGAAGAAATTATCGATTTATATTTTTGACGAAACGTCGAGGATTCGTAACAAAAAAAAATTATTAGACATCTGAAGTAACTTTATTCTGCGGTGTATCGCGATGTTACTTGGTTTTATTCAGCCCCAGAATCAATGCGGATTGCGCTGTTTTAGCCTTTCGTCTTACGAAAGAGGTGTGTTGTGTGTTGCAGGAGGCTCAGGAGTCGATTTCGGATCTGGGCGAGATGTTGGTATCACTGCTGTACAACGAGAATTTGCACCGACTCTCTGTTACTGTCATCGAAGCGCGGAGGCTTAAGGTAAGCCGACTGTACCAAAGTGTGCTTAAAAATACGTAAAATGTTTGATTCTAGAGGCGGAGGGAAGGAGACCACTGGCAAGACCTACGCATAGATGGGAGAATAATATTAAAATGCGTTTTTTTGGGAAATGTGATTGGATTCATCTGGCTTAGGATACGTATAGGTTGTCGTTCGGAGAGCCGTGGTTTGTGAGTACTGCAACGCAATCTGTAGCAACTAACTGGACTAATTAAACTAGCCAGCGCCCTCAGCGGTAATAGAGCCCAAAGTTTGAACACCACTAATAATAAACTCTGACACTTTGACGCGAAACCACATTTCAGACGTGAGTCGTAAGGAAAAATGTTCAACGGCGTATCGTACCATATCTGCACACACAGAGAGTAGCTGTCGCTTGACACTTATATTAGACGTAATTGCGCTGTTGCGTGGATAATTTTAGTTGAAATTGCGGTCGGTGGTGAATCGCGTAGCTCCTTCATGGAGCCCGGAAGTGACACTTGCGTTAAACTTTGTCAGTGGACGCAGTTTAAGAATGCTTCGAGACACGTGTTCTGCTTTTCTTATGTTTCAGGCTTCGTCTAACACCCGATGAGAGGCGCTACCTGCAGTCGAAACAAAAGAAGAAGACTTGCAATCCTTACTTCGACGAGACCTTCGTGTTTCAGGTATGCAGCCAGATTATTTTTAATATTGCAGTGATTTTTGGTAGACAGAATTTTGATGTGGGGATTTCGTAGAGATTTTGCGTCTTTACGATCGAGAAATACGTTCGATTAAGATGGACCTTCAACCACGCGTCGTCTTGTGCAGGTGCCGTCTAAGGAGCTGACGGACCACGTCCTGAAGTTGACTGTGATAGACGCGGGCAAAGCCAAGCGCCGTGGCGTTATCGGCTACGTGACCTTTCGCCTGAGGGACCTTCCCGCCGAGAACGAGCAGATTCTCTACAAGATGGATCTCGAAAAGGTGGGAAGCGCGTACAGTATCGTTCAAGAACCTGAACAAAGGGAGACCTGGGCATAGATGAGGGGATAATATTAAAATTAATAGCAGATAAATGTGGTGTGAAGATGTGATTCATCTGGCTGAAGAAATTATCGATTTATATTTTTGACGAAACGTCGAGGATTCGTAACAAAAAAAAATTATTAGACATCTGAAGTAACTTTATTCTGCGGTGTATCGCGATGTTACTTGGTTTTATTCAGCCCCAGAATCAATGCGGATTGCGCTGTTTTAGCCTTTCGTCTTACGAAAGAGGTGTGTTGTGTGTTGCAGGAGGCTCAGGAGTCGATTTCGGATCTGGGCGAGATGTTGGTATCACTGCTGTACAACGAGAATTTGCACCGACTCTCTGTTACTGTCATCGAAGCGCGGAGGCTTAAGGTAAGCCGACTGTACCAAAGTGTGCTTAAAAATACGTAAAATGTTTGATTCTAGAGGCGGAGGGAAGGAGACCACTGGCAAGACCTACGCATAGATGGGAGAATAATATTAAAATGCGTTTTTTTGGGAAATGTGATTGGATTCATCTGGCTTAGGATACGTATAGGTTGTCGTCTGTTGTGAACGCGGTAATGAACATCCGTGATCTTTAAAAAGCTGACCGTAGCTTTGCCTTCTCGGGGTCCCTGCTTTACGTGAAGTCAGTTTTAGTCGAAACGTTGATCCTGATTTAAGTCTGCGTTGTGACTATGGCCAGGTCGGACAGTTGAAGGTAGGCTACCGTACATGACGCCTCGCCGGTAGTCTGTTTCATTAATTCAGAGTACGTGGCCCTCCGATCTGCTGTGAGGTTACGTGCTGTTATTATTCCCTGTGAAAACATTGAAGGAGACGTCGTATAACGCCCTGAATGTCGTTACAACAGATGAGCATCGGAGAGGAAAACTTTTTTTAAGCTGGACTGAGTTTGTACAATTCAGATTAATCCAGTTTAATCGTTTATTTTAAGTAGCTAACTGAGTAGATTCCGCTCGCCCACCAATTTAATTCCTTTGTCAGAGTGTTTTGCCTCGTGAAATGTTGAGACGTTCCTTCCAGCTCCGCGAGGGTCGCTCCGACTCGTACGTGCGCGTCTCGCTGAGTCAGCATTGTCGCACGGTGAAAGTGAAGCGGACGGCGACCGTCAAGGGAACGGACTCGCCCAACTTTTCCGAGTGCTTCAACTTCCGAGTTCCGGCGGCGCAGGTAGATGTCACTAGCGTCGGCTTCCAGGTGCTGCAGTCGGTCAGCGGTTACGGAAGAGGTGAGTGCGTCGTTAATGTTCGTGCTTTTCACGTGAAAGATAGTCTCTTTGTGTTCCGATCTGATAAAATGTGTTTGGACGTACATAAAGTACGAGTTATAATCCTGTGATGAACCGATAACTATAAAATTAATTTATAAATTTAACCAAAATTTTCTTAGCAGTTAAGACACGAAAGGAACACGTACAAACGTATTTTCATACGTATCTGTCAGAGTTATAATGTCCATTAATCTTTCTAATTACTAATTACTGTACAGGAAGTTACTAGCAGATGACATGCGCAAACATGCTACGTTTGCGCTCTGAACTGCGCAGTGTTGACGGCCTAAAGTTAGGTTAGGTTGTATTGGGTTAGGCATCTAAACAGTGGTCGTCTTGAAACAACTACTGGTGAAGCGAAGTGTGTGGCTGTGTTCCAGATAAGCTGATCGGTAAGTTCGTGCTGGGATCGTACATGTTCGCACGTGGGAAGGCGCTCACCCACTGGAACTCTGCGTTCAGCAACCCAATGGATCAGGTTCAGCATTGGCACGCCCTCTGTGAGTGAATGCGACAGACTTCGCCTTTTGCATACTATCGTCGAGATAACTCGGCCTGTCGTATGCTTATCAGTATTTGAAGGTCATATGGTTATATATACTTCCTCTGCCGTCTTTTGACCATTTGGCAAGGTTGCCATAGAAACAGAAGCGGACAAATGACGCGTGGCTTCTTTCAGTTGTTTCGTGTTTCAGTATCTCCGCTGTTAACAATATTTGACGCTGTTTTTGTGGTGTGGTAACTCACATTACCTTTATTAACTGCTCAACGCTTTGAGTTTCGTGTGATTCTCACTGCAAACAGCGATTATTTCCTTAAACAGCGTTAACCATTCGATCTTTGTAATGGTGAAGTGTAGTGTTTTCTTCGCGGTACGGACTGGATTCTTAAACCGGGCAAGTCGCTCGTATTAATTGTAGGAGGGTCGCCATTAATTATGTAAACGTAAGTTCCAGACCCTCGGTTGGCCCGTCGGTATTACAGCTCACTGCATTGCGTGTTCAAGAAACAACTGACAAACGCTCTAATTCGCGTCGTTTATGGTCAGTCATAGATTAGCCGATTCGGAAATAAGATTGTCAACATCTCTCAGGAATATTGTTTCAAAAAGGGAAAATAATTTCAACGTAAAGAATCAAATAACTGTTCCGATGATTTGTGCAAGAAATGAAGAGTTTGGTGAGTATTCTGCAACCCACTCGTAAGAAATTTGTTCGCAATCTGCGACAGACTTTCATTTCGAAAGGGAGCGTTGTGTATATATATCACTTTATTAATACCTATTAGTGAAATAACCAATGTATAAGCCACTTATAAGATGATTATAGTAATAATGTATTATATTTTAGTGTAAAGTGTTTTTGTCAGCTTACAAACATCGAAGTTGCTTTCTTTTCCTTCAGTAAAAATTTCAGTTTCGTGTGCAACATAACAATTCGTACAACTGTATAAAGTATGTAATCATAAAAATATTCGGTACCTCTATACTGAACGGGTGGAAACCTGAAAATGTTGGTATTTTCATTAATTTTCCCCCCCCCCCCCCCCATCTCCAAGCATTTGTTTTTAAATTGGGATAACGTATTTTGTTTTCTTAAAATATTTTCTATTATTGTGCGCTATTGAGATCTACTCAACCACAGACGTGTTCAAATAAACGAACGTTCTGAAAAAATCTGACTGCTTCAATCCGCACGTAAGTTTAATGAGTTTTGTGTTAAAATTATAATTCACTTAATTCTATAAAACGTTCGCTGAACATACTTTGGGAGTCACCGGGTTGGAGAGTTTATACGAAATCATGATATTGTATGTTTAAAATTGTCTTCTGTAAATGATTGCATTTGTCTCGCCGTGATATTTCATTATTCTGTTCCTGAAGTGAGTTCTTTGTTTACGAAGACTGGTCTGTAACCATCAACATGAATATGCAATAATTGCTGTATAATATCATTATTGTATTTATTCACAGTTCTATTGTTATAAAAGACTCGCTGCCATGTTGTAACTGGCTGGCGTTTAATATGGGCTGCAGATATTGTGCTGGTCTTTACTCCGTTTTTCCGCTGAATGTCTTACGCTTCCAAGCTGACATTAACGCAGCAGAAATTATGTCTATCAAGATTTAGTAACGATCTCTGTTATTTTATGTCCTCATTTGATGTTAATGTTAATTTACTGCAGATAAAGAATATATTGTGGACAGTCGTAATCAACAATGGAAATCCTACATTTCAGACGACCGTAAATTCTGTTGTTTGACAAAGCTAATCAACGCGAAAGATGTTACACTTGATAAAGACGCAAAGAGTTGCTCTCTTGTTTTACGTGAAATATAGAAATTGCCACGATGAGGCGCATGGAACCTCTTCAGTATCTGCAATCTTTGCGTCTCATAACGAATGTCTGTAGTTTTTTTTTGTACCAAGTCACGGAGTTTTGACTGGTCATTTAGAGTGAAACGAGGGTTATAATTGTAATATAAATTTCATGAATACTTATTAAGCTGTTTTTTTAATATCACTGTCCCAGCCAAGGTGATTGGTTATGCGGCGTGGAATTTGGATAACCACTTGCCTTTGTCGGGATATGCCTCACGTCCTTCCAACTCCAAGCCATCGGTAATCCTGTCAGAATAAAATATTGACGAAGGGAATGAATTTGGAGCCAGAGAATTCTTGAACGTGATGTCTCGTCTAGAATTTGCGTTCTGTTCTAAATGTTTTATTGTTTACAGGTAGCATAACACGGAAGGCCCCTGCCAACTGTTGACACTTGAATTATTTGTGGCATTTCAACAATTATATTTTCCACAATTTAAAATGTATGAATTATAAATTAACTTTATCTCCGCTAAATCGGACTGCTAAAGATTTTATCATTGTTTCGCTTTCTTCGTGGTATTTGAACATTAATTACTGAGTCTTTAATAAATATTAGTGATCATAAAGACATAATGGACTGAGAGTTGTGCTCAATTCCTACGCATTCTTTTTGTAAAATAAAGGAAGGCTGTGGTGGCTAGATAGGAACACCCTGTAGTTTTTCGCCTTTAGCAACAATGAAACATTTGTTTTTCATATTTAACTATATTTTTTTATTTGTGCATGTAATATACACACACTTAAAATTATTTTTAAGCGTACGGTTTTCCATTTGCATTCTCTGCAGTAGTTCCATGCAATGTGTTGACAGATGTCGCTTCGACCGCAGTTTACGTATGTTATTTGAGTGAATAAGAAGAAGAATAAGAAGGCAGAGTGAACAATGTTTCTCAAAAATATTAAAAGAAAGTTTGCAATTGTGGAAATTGACTGTGGTCCTGTGATAACGTCTCCAGAGCCTTCTAAAACAGCGAATTGAAGTAACGTGACAAGATGGCGGACTACTTCATTCTCCTGTCATCATCTCCATGAACTCTGTAAAAGAGAAAAAAAAACAATGTCGAATCGTATAGCGTAAAATGTAAGTAATTATGACGAAATTTTATTTTTAACGAACGAAATAAGGAATTTTCGGCAGAACACGATATGATTTTTTTTTTAAAAAAAAAATTTAATGATCGTACAGGTTTGTTTTACTTGGGTAAAAAACGCCTGTCATTTTTTGATTCTGTGGGACGTCGGGAGGGTTAATGCTGCCGCACTCACCATCAAAGTCCACGGTCCCAGAGCCGTCGGTGTCAATCTCGGCGATGATCCCGTCCAGGTCGTCCGGCCCGAGTTTGTCGTCCAGGGCTGCCAAAATTTCCCTTAGGGTTTGCGTGCTGATGAAACCATTTCCTGAACAGAACGAAAAAGTGCTCGAAAAATTAAAATTGGTTGACTCACACCATGAAATGCATTAATTTTCTCCTGTCCATCGTTTATTTAATCTTTTAAAGCCCAGTGGTAACTATATGTACCACTTGCTCTAAAAACGCATTTTGTTTATCGTTGTCATGGAGACGTGTGTTTTCTTGGAGGTACGGACTGAATTTTATGACCTTCGACTTCAGATGCTTGAAAACATCGTAGTATCTTTAAAAAAGAGTCATCATGTTGGTACCTAGTTCGCATACAAACTGCTTCTTCAAACACGAATTCGTGTTTGGCTTCTTACACTGATAAAATCAAAGTCGCTTGGAATGTGAAGTTCAGAACGCACCTTCCCTGTCGTAGAGACGGAACGCCTCCTTCAATTCCTCCTGCATGGCCTCCGTGTCCTCTTCCTCCAGGAAGTGAGCAGCGATCCGACAGAAACCGTCGAAATTTACTTTTCCCGAACCTGATGGATAAAAAAAAACATGGACATTAAGATGGCTGCCTTTTGAGATGTTTCACCTTGTAGTGTGATACACGTTTACCGTCATTTCATAGGATCTGATTTATCGCCCTGATGATGGAAGCGGTAATTTCCTCCGAAATGACGGGGCAATATCTATTATACTACACGGCGTAGCATCTCGGAAGACAGCCATCTTTATTAAAATGGTTTGTGATAATGTTCAACGTATTATTTTTGTGAATAGGATGACTAAATGTCTGTTCGTTTAAAAGCAGAGTTTTGAACCTCTGACCTTCAGGGTCAGTCTCCTCGATGAGGGTCTGCAGTTCAGCTTCTTCAAATAACTGCCCCATTGTGTTCAAGATGGTGCTGATCTTTAGCGTCTCTATGAACCCGCACTTCGTCGTGTCAAACATCTGGAAGGCTTTGCGCATGACTGAAAACAAGAAATCCCATCAGTGTTACCAACATTCTTCACCTGACCTTTTTTTAAAAAAATTGCACAAAGAAAAGTTAATGTACGTTCATCTAATGCCTAATATTAAGAATAACTAGACACAGCAGATTGTTCCTTGATTACCTGATAGTAGATCAGTTAGTAAACAAATTCCACATTTTTTTTATAGAATATGAATGTCCATTATCGTATTCGTAAGTTCCCTCAACCGGAATGTATCATATTCATGGTTAAAATTACATTTCCTAAAGATCCTTTTATATATTTCCCTTACATTTACGCCTAAATTTCCCGCCCGTCAGTCTCGCAAAGTTTTCGACGTGAAACTGTGTTGCCAACATGCAAATACAGCTCATCTCGTTTTAATCAGGGCATAATGAAGTGCATTGATCACCTTCAAGCTCCGTCCGGATTTAACTTACGTTAGGAAATTGCGTATTGGTGGACGATACTCACTCTGCATTTTCTGGTCATCATCATCCTGGCAGCCACCGGGAAACAGAGAGAACAAAACACAGTCACAGTTTATCACCTTTTTCTGTTTATGTGTACAGTAAAAAACATCAAAACTCTACGGACTAGACGACCGGGGTTCGATCCCCTACAGGAGTAGATGGGTTTCCCGGGGCAAAGCGTGGCCGTGGTGCTGACCACTCACCCCCATCTAGTGTCGAGGTTAAGAATCAGTAGGAGCTATACTACTCTCCCCTCCAAGTGCCTACATGGGGTGCAGCTTTGCATTTTTTACTCGTAATTTAAAGCCTTTGTTTTGCCACGTTTTTGAAGGCACTTCGGAGGATCGATGAACCGCGCACAGCCCAGCTGACCACAAACCAAAGTTTAAAATTCTATCTCCAGTAGTTCTTTTAGTGCGTCAGTAGCCAGAACCCTGACGCGGTCGTCTGTCTCGCATAAACAAATTTGCCTTCGTAAACAAATATTTCTGCAAGATATTTTTGTTGTTTCCATTTCACTTCCTTCCTCTCCGACAAGAAGTAGATTTGAGTGTAAAAATAGCTAATTACTGATTAAATCCCGTAGAAATTGGTGTATTATTTTTTCAGAATTACATGCAATGGAAACAAAATTCTGAAGAAAATTCGGGCCATATGTGTCATCTCTGGAATAAGCGAACAATTTTCTGCAAACGTGGGTTTATTTGATATCATAAGTAAAGCTAGCTTTCAAGTGATCCAAATTAAGTGAAAATCAACACGTCCCGACAAAATTCGTAGTATATTTACAGTACATTGTTTGATCCATATCGATCGTCACATTCGGACAGACGTGAAACTAGTAAGTGGCCTTAAAAATTGTAATCGATTCCTAAACCCGCAAAAAGAAAACTCGTATGAGGTATCGATCCCGTCAAAGCTGGTAGCTTTTATCTGAAATTGTTTGCGATATGGCGTAGCTCATTACTGGCAGTTAGAGGCAACCAATCACACGTTTTCAACAAAATTTCTGTCGTCGGATCTATCACACAAAATATTTTTTGTCCCCAAATTGAATCATGAACTGCAATTCCGTCGTCTACACGAAATATCGACCTTAAATCGAATCTCGTTTAAATATTTAAGAACTCGGCCCGTACCGCGAAGAAAACACCACACTTCACCATTAAAAAGATCGACTAGTTAACGCAGTTTAAAGGAAATAATCGATGTTAGACTAAATCAAAATACGTAAAAACAAACTTTGTTTGGACATAAAGTATCTGCTCCAATGGATGATACAGAAGAATCTTCTCGTTACTCACCATGGCTGCAGCTGCTGCAAGAATGCGAGCGAAGTAAACGAGACACCGGGATTACTCGCGGGCCTGCGTGTTACTTTATACCTCGCGGAGGAAACCGCCTCCTGTCAACGAGCTACAAAATGTTTTCTTTTTGGTCCGACTCAGTTATTATTTTTGCTGGATCATCGGCTATGTTGGATGTACGCAAAGCAGTTGGCGTTTTCCTATTCGTGGTCGAAGGGGGAGGAAAATGGAACAGATAATAAAAATAGATTGAAAAAGAAGTCATCTGCCCTGACGAGTCCATTATAAGTCGGATTGGACGCTTCTTAAGAGACGACTCGTATACCTTAAGTCAGTTTTTTATCTGAACGAGAGCGGGCGGACATAGTTCATTATCACCAGTTCATATCAAATTTGTGATACGGAAAAAATGTACTTCTTAAGAGGACGCAACTCTTAACAGTAGATAAGTATGTCTCCTTTCCCCAAAGGTTTACTTTGCGGTCCGACACTTCATGGCCTAGTTCGCTCATTCGGGACAGTCTTATCGCGCAGTCCTCCCTATTTAAATATTCGTAAAAATTTACAGGCCAGTAAATTTACCCAATTTTCCAAATTACCATTTCATCACTGGATGAGAAAATCAAAATTACAATCATATTCTACCCTTATCAGACGGTCTTTAAGTTTATTTAATGCAGAAATACACAAAAATGCTGAACAGAAAATATGACTGTCCTGAGGTTTGTCGTACGTCTTACCCTGGCTTTGACGATGGAGGCAGGAAGGACCTCTGAAACGTCGGTAAACTCGCCCAGAATACAGCCATTTTTGAACTTCAGTCAGGATAGTCGGTCTCTGGGTCGAGTTTTGAACTGGTGTTCTCTTGAATGAGAAGCTGGAATGCTAACAGCGACGTTCGGTTGACTAAGTGTCTTACGTTCAGGAGTTGGAGGGATATGACCTGAATGGGATTCGAGCTCACGACCCAGCACTTGGCATGTTCAAACACTAATTACTCTCTAGGGTATTGGGTTATTTCACAACTCCTGTTCAACTGAACGCTTTATTTGCCACGGAACGGTCACTAAAGCCTGTCTTAGGTTAAGACGCGAAACGTCTCTGGTGATTTGTCTGAAGATACATCTCGGAATTTATCTAAAGAATCTGAGAAAGACCATGAAAGTTACCTGCGTAACCAAAAACTCATTATGACCCGAATAAAGTTCGTCCTCTATGCAAACTACATATCTAGCCCATCGTGCAGTGTCAGGCTCGGTTGCGTGATGCTGTGTGTTTGTAGAGATAGTGTGGGAGGGGTGGCCTTCGGTGTCCGGGGGGAGGGGAGGTCTGTTTTAGTTCTTACAGCCGATTACCACAGCTCCAGTAGTGACGGTGTGGCGTTTCACGTTACTCGCCCCACACCCCCTCGTTTATTTTTAATATCGAGTACTGATTATTCCGCGCTGGTTTCCGTGGTGGTAACGTTCTGTGATTCTATTTGCAACGCACGTAATTCTGATATCGATCGATATTTTTACGTTCGTTTACTGTGTAAACAAATTGAATTGTTTGGAAAAATTTCGCTCACGGGATATGTAAATTTTCGTTTTTTTTTTTAAATAGAAACATGACTCAGGGGAACGTGCACGCTTATCAGAAAATACTGAACCTATAATTTTGAAATTTAGTACGTAATTTAGTGGTATCGGCTGGAAGGGAGGGGGTAAATTTTGATTAATTTAAATCGGGTAGGGGAGGCTGCATGAGAGGTTTGCAGTGGCAACTTGAAACTTGGGGGAACCATCTCAGCATTTGCTTGAAGACAGAGGAAAACATATGTCCAGATGGTCTGTCTTCTTTACGAACAAACTACCCCGTAGAATCTAAAGCCGGCCAAATGTTGTAAGGGTTGATCTGTCCAGTAGGAAGGTCTGATATCTGGGGGTGGACTGGTGTGATGCTGTCAATTAAATTTGTAGGCGGCGGATTAATAGTACAAAGTCAGAGGAATTTATGTAAAAAAGTAGGCAGTGGATAAAGGAGAAGGAAATTTTCACAAGAACTGGCGGGGTCTCAAATCACGATTCCCTGAGTAGGATGTCTGTTTGTCCACCCCTGTCTGCAGGTGTCCTATATAATGTCCAAATCTCTCCTATTACGGAGTTACATAAATGTAAAAAAAAAAAAAAAACCATCGCACCTCGGCCATGCCACCTTGCCATTGGCTTCTATAAAAGAATTCGTGACGTCATACACGTAGTCCGTTGTGGAAGACGGAATGCGTTCTTGTTCTGTTTTAACTTTTTAGAAATTCAGCGCTGGAAGGCGCCGTCAGTCAGAGTGATATTAAGAAATTTAAATAACGCAAGGCAGAAATAGCGACGCGTACTGTCGTCGCCAAGGAAACTGAGTTCAAGCTGTTAATTTACATTGAGACAACCTGAAACACGTTTCTATATGCGAAAAAACAAACCAGTTACGAAATTACGAAACTTTCTAGTAGAAGGGCTCGAATGTTTCCCATTTCTAACGCAAGACGCCGCCACTGGGCACGATCCTAAGTAACACGTCTTAATCATATCCTGGAAGTTATCGGTTCGAATCCTAGCTGGTGATTTTCGTGGTTTTTACGAGTATCTCTAGACAAATACCGATATGACGCCTTAAAATAGATCATGACTCTTTATAATTTAGAAATATCTTGCCTTTTGTCCTACCCTGGACGAGCTTTTGTGTTGAAACAACTCTGTAAAATAACCAACGTGATGTGTGCTCCCTATTCCTGAGACGTGACTGTACCACACAGTCAGAACGAAGTCTAATTATAGCGACCTGCCGCCTTCTTGCGCGCATTACTCAGTCGCTTGGAAACGTCCGTTGCTGTTTAAAGCATTTCCTGCACTTCCCGGCCTCGTGCGAAGAAATGAACGCATGATATAGGGCGTGTATATCCGTCTGTTGCATGTTTAATCTCTGAAGATACTCAACTGTTGATGTTGAGCACCTCGGATTATGTTTTGTTGCGTTGACAGTGGCTCTATAAAGTTATCAACAATGCCGCTAGATTGCAGTGTGTATGTGCCACTGCCATTTTGAAGTTTTCAAAACTCTAGCAGGAGTGCTAACCACTACAACACGACGTAAAGTACATTGTTGTTGATACATTTCGACATTTGGACTGTTTGTTCATATTTCGTTTAATGTACGTCGTTACGAAAAATATTTCAAATAGAATTAGTATTTTTGTAAAGTAGTAGCTGTTGTGTATGACTCATCTTAAAAAATTGTATCGAGGTATATTTAAGCTTCAGTAAAGCAGAGATGTTATTGTGAACGGGAAATAAATTTCCCGACAGCGTTCCATGTCCAGTGGAAAATTTCAAAGAAATGTCTTTAATATTATCTGGGATGAAACTTTCGTCTACATTTTGGGATCATTTTTACACTTCTTACTAACAACACTAAAAGAACGCACTTAGGATGAATTCCGATCGTTGAAGGAGTTCTTATATCTTCGTGAAACTGGGTAAGATTATCAGTTTCGTTGTTTGTCCTCGGTGCTAAAGGAAGCTTTGTGTTGGTCAGATGATATCGCTTATTTCGTCTGTTCAGAACAGAGTAGCTTACAGCTCCCATGTGTCAATGAGCCAACTTCCTACACGCTGATTCACTACTGAATGGGACCCGGCCGGTCGTAAAATGTTTGGATCAACTGCTCTTCACTGTTCCTGTCTGTCTCTCTTTCATTCATTCCTTCTTTCTTCTCTTTTCTTTCCTACTATAATCTTTGTTCGCCACGGTGGTCTAGCGGTTAGAACGCTGGCCTTGTAATCCTGGGGTCTCGGGTTCGATTCCCGGCGGTGCCAGAATTTATAACTTGTGTTGGGCAAGACCGTGGTCTAGGCAACACGGAGTTTTCCTCCGTGGCATCCCAACAATTACTCCATTCACACACAGAAGAAGGCAATGGCAAACCACTACTGGATCATCTGCCAAGAACGTATATGAACAGGTCCCAGTCCGAGAAAAGGATGGAAGGATCCTGTTCATATGGACCCGTCGTCAGACAGAACACTGAATAAAAATAAACTATATCCTTATTTTGCTTTTTATTATTTTTTATTTCTGTCTGTATTTATTAACTAACAGGGAATCCTTTTTGTTAACTAACAGCCGCTTAGCTAGTCAATAAATTTACAGTTTTTTATTAAACCTGGAATGTTATTACTGAGTTTACGTGGGGCAATTAGTGGTCCATATCCTGAACCAGATGAATCTAGTCTACACACTCCAATCCATTTTCCGTAATATCCATTTTAATATTATTCTACCATTTACACCTAGGTCTTCCGACTGGTTTGTTTCCTTCTCCCTTGTATTTCATAAAAAACTTTTAGTAAGCTCGCATGCCTCTCGTCAGCCATATTAACAGTGTTGACGGACTGATCATATAATTCGGCAGCAAGCAAGACAACGCTAGATAGGCTGTGCTGGACCAGTTCCAGGGATGTCTGCAAGCAAATAACGAGTTTGAAGCCGCCAGGAACTGTATATATAACGTCTTATCGTAGGATCTAATTTGGGCATCGGACTGTCTTTTGTTTCGCAGGTTTACAGTTCACAGTTGTGTGCGTTTTCATGAAAGAGAAACGCGAGGGATATTTGTTTTTGCAAGACCCCTGGCAACGACTGAAATAACTTGTGAATGGCACATTTTGAACTCAACACGTTCTTGAATTAGTTTTCTATGGAAATTATTGTAGCTCGCAGAGAATTTCTTGTCCGAATTTCGTAATTAAAAATCTGACATTCGTGGAACGCGTAGTTTTGGGAATTTCCGAACTTTTAGGTAATATAATTTTCTGTGTTATTTTTTTTCTTTTTCCCTGCGAAATTGTTTGTTTGGCGCTAAGCTTTTGAGAGTAAGTGTGCACTTTCTGTGCCCACATTTTAAGTGCCACTATGAAAAAGAAAAAAAAAAGATAGACGGAAAAAGTCGAAGGAACGAAGACAAAATAAACTGAATCAAATCAAAATATCCCGGCTCTAAACCACGTGAGTGGCTGTTAAAGTCGCCATGTTGCCTTCAGCTGTCAGCGAGATTTGGTAACCCCCCCTCCCCCCCAACCTCCTAGACTCATTACCACTTTAATATCTGTCCAGCTTTATTTAAGCTTTGAAGGAATGGTTTTTAATTCATTTCCTTAGGTCCTCTGCCTTTTTCTGATTCAGAATTAAGCTTAATTACGAAGCAATGATTCCTCTCAGATATTTAGACTCCACAATTGAGAGATTGGCCAAACTAAATAAATGCCAATACGGCCATTAGAATTTGCCGATGAAATTGTGTATTAAGGGCATAGGTACATTTTTTACGCGTAGAGCAGAGTGAAAGATATAAGTGCTAGTAGAATTTTTGTATAGACGACAGGACGACAGGCTCGTGTTTGCAATAAATTCTTGCAATCTCTTACGCAGCCAACCTTACGGAAGTGAAGTCCTGTATGTTTAACGAGATTTCCCGCATGGCGTTTCCCGTTTCAAGAATGTTTATGTTTAACTTTGACACCGACCCTCATTGAAACGCAGACATTTATACTTTGTCCTTGCAGCAAGAAATTGTGAGACATGCCAGTGTTATTTTAATATCGTATTCTCGTAATTCATTTAATATAGTAGGCCATCTACTTCTGTGCCTTAGATAGAATTTATTGAGTACGTGGGTGTGATACGAGAATAGCAGTTCAGTTATGGCGTCAAAAGTGTGATCATAAAGCTTAGCTCGAAATGAGACGTATGTACTGTAATGTATATTTGCTTCCCATATAATATTTTCAGATTAATAATCGCGAAATTCTGGAGTGGACTTCCTAAACATGTGCACTCAAAATCACTTTATTTGCTCAGAAACTTTCTCGTCGTAGTTACAAATGCAGTCATTCCAGTTAAACAAATTACAAAATTCGATTAAAAACGGAATAAGTTCTTCCCCGGTATCAGGGGCGAGGTTTGTATTATGTTTTATTGCTACGTTGACAATGGTTGAGGATTATGTTAAGGTGGGTATCGTTTATACCAACTGAGCTGCTGACAGTGGCTGATTCTTTGAAATTGTTTTGTAATAGTTCTATTGCTCCTTCTTAGATGGCACATGACATTGTATTCAAAAATAGTCATAGATACGCAAGTTGCTTACGTAATTGATCTGTGGTTTGGGCGTTGCTGTTTTGATCTATTGATATAGTTTATATGTGGTGTTATCAGACGTCACGTGAAGGCTTGTTACTTTACAGCTTGTAATCTTAATTTTCGGTTTTGGTATGTAATTATAACAAATTTTGTTTTGTTTTTAATTTAAGAGTATTGTCTTATAGTGTTTTTCTGCTTTATAAGTGGTCACGTGACGTGTTATGTTTGGGGTCTGTGATCTTCTCATTTTATAACTGTACTGTGAAAGTTTTCCGTGCTCCACGTATAAGCAGATATTTAAATGGGTTTAGGTTCTAGTTCACAGGAAAACATGGCCGACACTTGTTCTTCAGTGAAGCAGTTGGTTAAGGAGCTAATAGATTCTGATGATGTTGTTATTTTCTCAAAGACTACATGCCCCTTCTGCATAGCGGCGAAGAAGGTACGCATTAAGATTGACGCACACATTTTGTGTTAATTTTGTAACATATAGTGAAATTGTTGGGTAAATAGTGTTACCGGAAGTGTTTATCAGGTACCAGTGCTATAGAAATACAACATAGATTCACTAACCACATAACAATACTAATATGACCAGCTTGGTGCTTTCCCGGACTGCTCTGGCATGACTAAATCCTTGGTTCAAACACCCCTCTCCCAGTATAAATCAAGTATGCCTGAGTTTACTTTATGTTTTCCTTAAACATGGTGTACTATCACATGAAGTTTGGTGGTACTTTTCAGTCACTTATTTTATAATATTTCATATGAAGAAAAGAGACAAATTAATTATGTCTAACACTAAAAAAAGTGATCATGCTGGTTCAGAGTTTGGAGTGATAAAAAATACCACATCAGTGGGAAGAATTTGCCAGTCTTTTAACCATTTATACCTTTCACAGAATTTTAATTTTGCTTAGTTATTAGCTCCAAATCAGCCATGAACTATCAGTCAGTAGAAAGTAGACTACTTGCTTTTTATATATATGATTTGCATTTCCACTTAAGACTGCTCATCCAACTTGTTTTTTTTTACCCTTTACTGCCAAACATTTGGTTGGATGATTTGTTAACCTGTTTTAGGTGTTTGACGATCTGCACCAAGTGTATACAGCTGTTGAGTTAAATAAGCGGGATGATGGTGACACCATTCAGACAATACTGGAACAGATCACTGGAGCACGAACAGTAAGTATCCGTTCCTTTTATTGTGGCTAATGTGTTTATTTATGATCCCCTCCCCTGGGACATTGTTGGTGGGTCAGCTTCTTGAATGGCGACACCTATGACGTTGACTCCACAATTGTGTGGCTGGTGTTGATTTAGGATGGTGATTATAATGATGGGATCCAAGCCACAGATAGAGTCTGGTACGTTGTGGCATGCCAACTGCGAGTAGCGATGCTAATAAACTATTGACAGTGATAATAAATAAACCACAAATAAATAATTTGTGCCAATGTTAATATCTTTTTTAATTGTATTTACAAACAATGGCAATATTGAATGAATTGAAGATTAATATGTGATTTTATTCTTCAGGTACCCCGTGTTTTTGTTCGAGGAGAGTGCCTAGGAGGTTGCTCTGATATCAAAGAGCTTTATGCATCAGGAAAACTTGTAGAAATTCTTAAAGCAAAATGAAATGTATATTGTTTAGGGCTGTATACATTACATCTGTTCTGGGTCATCATCCTTTATTCATATTCCAACTAATGATAAATATTTTGATATATACATTATAATAACAAATAGAATGGTGTATGGATTATAATATTATTATGGAATGTAATTTTCTATAAGTTGATTAATTTTTTCTTTCCATTATTTTAAAATCACAGTTTAATCTCAGGACAGAGGTGAACCACAAATTCATACTGGTATGAAACATTTATTAAGTCTGTCGAAAGTGCTGGCAAATTTCTGTAACCTAAACAAGCCAACTTCGTGTTATGTTGGTCTTCTGAGTTGTGACACTTTGAATTGCAACATTTTGCTGAAACATCCTGCCTCTGTGTTTAATTAATGATTATTGGTGATCAACAAGGGGTTGTTGCCCCTAACAAAACATTACATAGGTACATTGTACTTGGAAGAACTAGGCAGTGATTGGAGGATAATATTTCAAGAGGATTTTCAGAAAATAAAGTGGTAAAGTGTTGAGCTGTGGCTCAGGACTGAAGTTTTTGTGTGTGAAGTGAATGGAATAAGCATTTTCATGTGATTTGTAAGCTTATTCTTTTATCACAATTTTGTATTTGGGTGATGAGATGTGATTTAAATATTGTAATAGAAATTCTCTGTGGCCCTGTGTATGCATCACTAACCAGCTTGCTCCTTGGTAAGGTGTTTACAATTTTAGTTGGTCACATGACAGCAAGCCTTTCCTTCCATTAATACCTTCTCACAATTCCTAAGTTCCTTTCCATGTTATTCAGTGAAAAATTTTTGCACACAGCCATAGCATTGAAGGTAAGTGGTCAGGTTATGTGCTCCAGTCACTTTATCTCTGGTAAGTTAGTCCACGTGACCTTTGGGTAAGAGGTCAAGTGGGCATATAACCAACCTGGTTACATCAGTGCTAGGAATTTAGTGTAGCCTCTAACCTGAGACTGAAAAAGTTCATGTATAAAACAAGGCAGTTATCTGGTGTACAATTCCATGTAGGAATTTCTTTTAAAGTTGTATTCGAAGTAGCAGGCACTTGCCTCTCCCAGGAATAGTTTTGTGAGATATTGGGTTTTCTTTGAGGTATTCGTGTCGGTCGAATAGGTTGTATTGGCCGTCATAGTACTTTATGGTTTTTAAGTTGGTAGTGTATATCTACTATATAATATTTTCGTTCAAATCACGGCCGTTATAGCGCAACTGTTTTTTGTACTTACTGCCCTCTATGAGATTTCACTCAACCCGTTCTCGATGTTCGTAATTTATCGACTTGATGTCGATAATTTCAAAGGTCGGTAAGCCTGCACCATGTCGATAAGTCAGTGTGCATTTTACAGGTGGATCTGAAAATATGGCAATATTTCTGTTCTGGAAGGAATGACCTGACATTTGACACATTTCTTCACTAAAGTAAGACTTTCTGTGAATTTTTGTGGCTGGTGCTAGACGTGGAATTTGACGATTCTAACCAAAGCTGCCAAGATGACGTGCCCAGGCAATGGAATCTACGTGGTGCAAGGGGAGATGGCGATTCTCCTTACCGCAATGAGGAGAGGAGCCCGATGGTCTTCGCATTCACATCAGGTTCCTTTCCCAAAATACGATTCTTTATTATCATGCTATTTGAAACTGAATACTTTGGTTACGAATGACATGGACTGTGTAATGATCGAACCAACGAGTATTTAGTTAATTTACTAATTTAGGTTCACATTAGATAAAAATGTGAACTAATAAAAAAGTAAATAGAATATTTGTACCTCTGCTGTATATTCTTTAAAAAAATGACCATAGTAAGATACCGAATTCAACTCGTGGTTATATTATAAAGGCATGAGCTCTACCATATGTAAGTATTTTAGTGTTGAAAATGGGTAATTGTGGTCTGGGTTATAATGTGGCATAGTCTTGTAGGCTACCCAGAAAATGGAGGTGGTACTTTCCTCTGAATGTTGGTAAGAACCTACAAGGCTAAATGGTGTGTGAACGAAGAAGAAAACAATTGTCATATATCATATTTATTTCACAAAATTTTGTAACTGTGGAACTTGTTATGGTGGGTTACCTGTACCATAATTTGTGAATTAATGATGGTAATACTTTACCATATTGTTATGCAGGATGAAGAGCAGGATACCCTAATTAGGAGCTTTACTGATTTGAAAGATGTCCTGAATCAGATTGGAGATCTTCATGACCTGGATCCGCACCATTTTCTTGGTATTTTAGCCTTATGTTGAGTTGAGTATCATTATGGAATAAGGTAACTTGTGTTTCCGTAAACCACTTCCTGTTATGTTTATCTGTAATTGC